TATATGAAACCGCGAGAGGCCTGGGGGTGCATCCCGGCCTTACACGTTGGCACCAACGAGCTCACCGAAAACAAGGAAAAGGCACAGGCTTTCCTAGATTCTTTCTTCCCGAAAATGGACGAACCCGACGAAGTTCCGCTCGCCCGAGCACCTCTAGAACTCCCGTGGCAACCTATCACCGAGCGAGAGATCCAGCGATCTCTGAAATCTACGAAGGGATCTACCGCACCTGGCGAAGACGGCGTACCGACGCTCATGTGGAAACAGCTGTGGGGATACCTCAAGCACTACATCACGGGAATTTTCACCGCGTCCATTAGCCTAGGATACCACCCGAAGCGATGGCGGAGCGCAAAGATTGTGGTGCTACAGAAACCCAAGAAACCAGATTACTCGGTCCCCGGAGCGTATCGCCCGATCTCACTCCTTAACACACTAGGTAAACTTCTGGAGGCGGTGATGGCGCGACGACTGTCATATCTCGCCGAAAAACACGGTCTACTACCGGACACCCAATTCGGCGGGCGACCAGGCAGAACCACTGAACAGGCCCTTTTGGTCCTCTCCAACGCGATTGACCGGGCGTGGTACAAACACAAAGTAGTGACGCTGGTGGCATTTGACCTAAAAGGCGCCTTCAACGGAGTCAACAAGACCAGCCTAGACGCCTGTCTCCGGGCAAGGAGAATCCCAACCGTGGCTAGAAAATGGATCGCGAGCTTCATGAGCGACCGCCACGCTAGCATAGGATTTGATGACTTCCGCACCGAGGTCACGCCGCTAGCGAATGCAGGACTAGCACAGGGCTCACCCCTCTCGCCTATTCTGTTTACATTCTTCAACTCCGACCTAGTCGACCAACCCGTCACCTTCCACGGCGGCGCATTCGCCTTCATCGACGACTACTTCCGCTGGCGAGTAGGTCGGTCAGCTGAAGACAACCTAGCCAAGATCCAATCTGAAGACATCCCCCGCATTGAAGCATGGGCCCGTCGAACCGGGTCCTGCTTCGCAGCAGAGAAAACCGAGCTCATTCATATCACCAGGAAACGAAGCGAACAGCTCCAGGGACAGGTGGCTATTAACGGGAAGACAGTTGAAGCGTCGCCCACGGCCAAGCTGCTGGGCGTGATTTTCGACCAGGAGCTTCGCTGGAAAGAACACGTCCAACAAGCGATCAAACGAGCAATCAAGGTCAGTATTGCTTTAGGCGGGCTGCGGCATTTACGCCCAGAACAGATGCGACAGCTCTACCAAGCCTGTGTCACGCCGGTCGTGGACTACGCGTCGACGGTCTGGTACGACCCTTTGCGAGACAAGACTCACTTGCGACACCTGAACACAGTCCAGAGGACCACGTTGATCCGCATCTTATCGGCTTTCAGGACGGTAGCTACTACAACCCTGGAAGTAGAAGCACACGTTCTGCCAACGCACCTGCGCCTCCGCCACCGAGCGCAGAATACCATCGCAAGCCTCCACACTCTACCGCGAGATCACCCCATTTGGGACACACTACGGCGAGCTCAGAAACGTAGGGACAGCATCGGGTCGTACGCTCGTTTTCCACTGGCGGAAGCCCTAAAGACCATGAACCCAGTGAGTCTAGATGAATTGGAGACGATTGACCCACGACCGCTACCACCGTGGCGAACCGAGTCCTTCACGGAGATTGAGATCGGGTCAGACCGAGAGACGGCAAGAGAACGGGCTGAGGCTGTTCGGTCCACCCCTGCCATCGTGATCTATTCTGATGCTTCGGGACGTGAAGGCCACTTAGGCGCTGCTGTTGTTGCACTCGATAACAACCTAGAGGCCATCGAATCCCAGCAGATCCAGGTGGGACCGATGGACCGGTGGTCAGTTCACGTAGCAGAGCTGATAGGCATTTTCTACGCTGTCAGTACAGTGTTCAAGATCAGTCACCAGCGGCCAAGAACGGAACATTATGGAACAATAACGGCGACGATCCTCTGCGACAGCAGATCAGCCCTGCAAGCAATCCAGAGCCCAGGTAACAAATCAGGACAACGTATCATCCACGCGATCCTCCAGGCGGCCACAGAGGTCCAAGGAAAGGGAATCGCACTTCGTCTCCAATGGATACCTGGACACTGCGACAATCCAGGAAACGACGCAGCAGATCGGCTGGCCAAGGACGCGGCAAGCCCGGGCAAATCACATCCCTTCCGCCCTCTGCTGACAAGGACGAAGGCGCTTATTCGCGACAACATCCGTGCTCAGTGGAGGCGTGAATGGCAATCATCCACCAAAGGCGGTCACCTACGGAAGATCGATAACACTCTGCCGGCGGCCTACACTAGGAAGCTTTATGGGAACCTGCCCAGGGGCCGGGCGTACTTGCTGACACAGCTGCGCACAGGCCATAATTGGTTATCCACCTTTAGGAATGCTATTGGCTTCCGTGACGACGATCACTGCGCGTGCGGCGCGCAAGAAACAGTCACTCACGTCCTGGTGGACTGTCCAAAACTACAGGAGTTGAGAAGAGAATTAAGAATGAAGGTTGGGGACGCGTTTAGCAACGTATCGAGTCTGCTGGGAGGCTCCAAAGAAGGTGAGAGAGGTAAACCAGACACCGTCTCGCGAGCCAAAACGGTGAACGCCGTGTTGGACTTCGCTGAGGCGTCACAGCGGTTTCAAAGTCGCGCGCCATAAGGGCAGCCTAACAACGTGAACGGCAACTAGGCCATGATAGGCTTTGACGAGGCTCCAAATTCGTTTTCAGGAAGTGGCACATCACACATGTACATACACGGATATATATAGTTGCTGTAGCCTGCATATCGCTTTGGCGAGAGGTCGGGGTAAATGAAATCATCCATCCATCCATCCATCCTGTAACTTGTTTTGATATAGTTCACCAACTAATCCTTACGCTTGGTTCTAAAGGTTACTGTCCTAGACTGGCTCTCTCTAGTCTACTTCAGCAACTTTGTCAATAAGTGGCGGTTTGAAAATATACCCGAAATACAGTCTTTGGCTACATGTACACTGGCGAGCAGACCACACCGAAGATGCACGTTCCTAGTCCTACGCATGCTACCTGTGCGTTGTGGTCGTCTATATTTCCAACCCCCTGCAACTTAGAAAGATGCAGCAGAAATTCTTCTCTACGAAAGTGTTCTCAAGCTCCGTTTTCCATTCATGAGGCCTGCGATTACTTCTGTACAAAAATTGGAAACACCTCTCAGTTTCCTCATAAATTTTGGTGTTGGCTACCTTGTTATGTAGCGTGACAAAGTACTCCATAGTTCGTTGCAACGCCCCAAAACAGTAATCGCTGGCAGCTTCGGTATTGCTTCATTGGCCGACTCATAGGGGCCATAGTCGGGTGGAGATTTGTGGACCGCAGGCTGACGACGTTGAGTCTATATGAGTTAGAGACAAGACGTTCAAGTGGCCAAAAATATAAGCAAAATCTTACTATTTCCTGTTTAGTTGGGACAGCGACATCGGGGTGAGAATAGTAGGTATAGAGGCGGCCGTTCGGCATTTCCATAACTACCCAACTTTTGATTGAATACAAGCGCCAGAAATCATTGTGACGGCGTAGCAGGTTATTGCGGCGCTTGCGCAGCTGCTCCTGTTTTACGCGGCGCTTGCGCAGCTGCTCCTGTTTTATAGGACTCTCAACCGGCGCCATTTAGAAACTCGATGTTGTAGAACTGCAGCAACAAGGAGATAGAAAGAAGCGGCCCAGGCCTGTTATACAAATCTGGATTTATATAGGTAGAAACATTGCTCCAGACACGTTGGTCCTGAGTGACAGATTGCTTTCAGAGCCCTCTAAAGTTGCCCTGGTCGGTTAGGAATCGGTCAAGTGCGTTCGTTCGTATGTGAACGTTCAGCACTACAAGCGTACCACCAATACGAATATCTCGAACTAGACCGAAATGATATGGAATTTAGATTCCTCAACATTTTGCTTCATCTGTCACCAAGCCCGGCGGAAAATCTGCATTCCGTCTTGTTGCAACACCAACAAAATTCGCAAACGTAAATCTAAGTAAACTGCAAGTCCTATCAACCGCTTCGTCTCCTGGAGATATAACACCGTCTCGGGAGTCGCGATTGAAAGTTTACAGAGATAAATAAGTCGTTTTCCCATTCACCTCATACGCAAAAATTTCTGCATACTCGTCGTTATCAGGCTTCGAGGTTTTTTCATAATTCGTATCCCAAATTTGCCAATCAGTATATATCATACGATACATCCTTCCCGACGAGTGGTGCCACGGACTAGGAAAGAATGGCTCAATCATGGTAAGCCCCCAATAACATGGCTCGCCACATGAGTATACCGACAGTCTTTTAAGGGTTGCCAGGGGATGTTTCCACGTTTCGAGAGAGCATCCCTAAGAAGGTGCCTTTCCGCGCTCAGCACCTTGTCTTGGAAGCAGTGCAAGAAATGTTGGAGCAAAGTGGATTCCGCTTTATCCAACGTTGGCTACCCCAGGCGTGTCGGTCGGCCGAGTGGGTTTGTGCAGAGTCAATGGAGCTGGACAGACTCTTCCCATTTTTGAACCAGCATAAAAAATACGTATCTTCGAAAGGTTTTCACCAGATATTGGCTAAACTTCGCAGCCTAAGGCATACAGTGTGCAATATACGCCATGCGGCAGTCTACAGAATTCTTCAAGATAGCGAATCCTTGCTTGAAATGCTTCAGGCTGCTGTTGCTTTCGCTAGCTGCATAGGCGATAAGGAATGCACACAGCAGCTTGAATTCCTTTGCAGTACTTTGAATAATTTACTGTTTCAAACGAATGAGCGCTTACACCATCTTCAGCAGAGGGTAATAGTTCAGATTCGGATACGTCACTCCCGTCCAGCAGAGCAAAGGCGTGCCCTTCTTCCAGAGGCAGCCCGAAGGTTGACAGAACAAAGCGAACACATTCTCCGAGGAAAGTTGGTGTCGATAATACGGGGATATAAACTTTAACGTTGTGTACCGAGCGGGAACCATCCCCAAAGCGATGGCGGACCCACCGACGGGAGGGCCCGAGCCCTTTCCCACAAACATCCAAGAATCCATCGCCAGCATCCTAGGAGAAGAACTTCAGGCCACGGTAGCTGCAGACAGGTCCGACTTGCTCTATGAGACTCGGAAGCGAACCCGGGGTAGCGATGCTTTCGCACCATCGGACCCTGCGGGTCGAATCACCACCAAAGAGGTGTGGTAACTCATTGGCACGCTGAAGGACGTCATCCGCCACCAAACCGCGGTCATCGCAGCCACCCAAAATGAACTTCAGGAAATCAAGCACAGCCAGAACGTCCTCCAGGAACAGAATGAGAAGCTTTACGAGGAGGTGAAAGCTTTGCGAACTCAACTTGGGCTACCGTCGCAGCTAACAGCGGCAATGGCACCTCCCCGCTGAACCACCAACCACCCGACAAAGAACAAAATTGCGTTCGAATCAGCACTCAGAGGACCTTTGTCGATCCAAGGGACAATATTAACAACGACGGACACGCTTTCGGGTGATATCTCCCTATCGAAGCCGCTAACACGCACATCCGCACGGCACTGCAAAGCGACGTTACGACGCAAGACGCTCAAGTGGCTGGTATTGGCACCACCAAAACTGGCTATATCATTCGATTCAAGAACACGGAGTCAGCTAACGTGGCCCGAAACAACACCGAGTGGCTACATAACCTAGGCAATAACACGAAGCTGGTAAAACCACGGTTCGGTATCGTTATACACCGAACTCCCACCGAGGAGTTCGACCTAGAGACCGGGGCGGCCCAGGCAGTAGATAAAATCACCGAAGACAACGACCTAACAGAACACGGCTTCCGCATCGAAGAGCTGGCCTGGATGAAGGCGAAGGACAAGCCCCTGGGTAAATTTGCATCACTGGGAGTCTTGTTCGACTCTACGGAGGGGGCGGAACATATCCTTCGAAATGGTTTCGTTGTCAACAAGCACTACCTTCATTACATTGAACGACGCGAATTCAAGAAGAAGAGATGCTTCCGGTGCCAACAGTTTGGCCACCTAGCATGGTCATGCAAGGAAACGCCACGATGCGGGCACTGTGTGGGCCAACACGAACGAGAGCGTTGCCCACCCGGAGTAAGGGCCTGATGCCTCGACTGTAGTGGTGAACACCCTACTGGCGATCGACACTGCTCAGCTCCAGCGGCGACCAACCCCGCTAGATGCTAGAGAGAAACCTCCGCATTCTACAGTTGAACATGATGAAATCAGGACCGAGAATGGAGGCACTGATCAATGACCCTCAGATCCAAGATCTAGATATTCTTCTGATCCAGGAGCCATCCATTACCACGTATCGCACACATGTCAACCATAGCGCCTGGCGACTATACCGACCTACCACGCAGACCGATGCAGTTCGATTCCGCAGCCTCATCTACGTAAATAGACGAATCTCTACCTCCTCACACTGCCAGATACCTTGCGACCACCCAGATGTCACAGCCATTAAGATCTGGTCAGCCGACTTCCAAATCCTTATCTTTTCGGTCTACATACCTCCAGTCCCACTATTCACGACCGACAACGCGCCAGCATCACCAGCGCTCACAGCAATACAAAACACCATCACAACCACAACGCAAAATGAGCAGCGGTCTATAAGCATCATTCTTTTCGGCGACTTTAACCGACATCACCCAATGTGGGGCGGCAGTCATATCCCATCTGGATTTATCGAAGAAGCCAGCGAGCTGATTGATTTTTTCCAAACTCACAATCTTCACAGCTGCCTCCCTCGAGGCACAGCAACGTTTTGGGCCTTGAACAGCCCAGGACAAAACTCGACCACCGACCAGACAGTGACAGACAGACCGGATCTGCTTATCAAATGTCATCTATATCACGAATACGGATCCGACCACCGCGCCACCTACTCGGAATGGAATCTGCAACCCCAGAGCAAGCCAAGCACCAAAGCAAGAAAGGCGTACGAACGCGCGGACTGGGACAGAATTGGCGAAGAAGTAACCCGGCAGATGAGCCCCTGGAAAGACATTAAGACTCGACCAGCACTCGACCGAATTGTGGAAGAACTTACATCAGCGACGGCCCAGGCCGTTGACCGGTTCATACCTGATACTCGCCCAACGCCATACTCGAAACAATGGTTTACACCAGACCTCAAGGTTCAACAAGTTGAAGTCAATCAACTGCAAAAGAGGTGGCAAGCTAGCTGTGTGGGGCTAGGACGAAACCATGCCAGCACTACTGCTGCCTTTCAGGCCATGCAACAAAAGCGTCGAGCATGGACTCGGACCATAGAGAAGGCCAAAGCGTCGCATTGGAAGCAGTTCCTAGACGAGGCGGGCGAAGGGAAGCTCTGGAAAGCAGCAACCTACATGAAGCCTCGAGAGACGTGGGGCTGTACCCCAGCCCTACAAGTTGGCTCGGAGGAGCTCACCCAGAACGAAGACAAAGCGAAGACCTTGCTTGAAGCATTCTTTCCCGCAATGAACATACCCGATCCTAGCCCACCAGCGTTGCCACAGGCGGATCTCCCGTCGCAACCGATCACCGAACTCGAGATTGAGGGATCATTGAAGGCAGCGAAAGGGGCGACGGCACCAGGGGAGGACAATCTGCCGATGCTGGTCTGGAAGAAACTATGGGTATACTTGAAGTCCTTTATCACCGGCATCTTTGCAGCGTGTATAAACTTAGGGCACCATCCAAAACAATGGCGAAGTGCGAAAATCGTCGTTTTGCGGAAACCTGGTAAACCTGATTACTCGACGCCCGGTACCTACCGTCCCATTTCACTTCTGAACACTCTCGGCAAGCTTCTCGAGTCAGTGATAGTCCGACGGTTGTCCTATCTGGCGGAGAAGCACGACCTGCTACCAAACAGCCAGTTTGGCGGACGCCCAGGCAGAACTACCGAGCAAGCATTGCTGGTGCTGTCTAATGCGATCGACCAAGCGTGGTATAAACACAAAGTGGTAACGCTAATTGCATTCGACCTCAAGGGTGCCTTTAACGGGGTGAACTGGGTGAGCCTAGACGCCGCGCTACAAGCGAGAGGGATTCCGATAGCGGCAAGGAAATGGATCGCGAGTTGCATGAGCGACCGACACGACAATATTGGATTGGATGACTTCCGTACCGAGACAAAGCCCCTAGCCAATGCAGGATTAGCGCAAGGGTCGCCACTCTCTCCCATCTTGTTTGCTTTCTTCAACGCCGATCTGGTCGACCAGCCAGTCAACTCCCACGGAGGCGCGTCGGCATTCATTGACGACTACTTCCGCTGGCGAGTGGGCCACTCGGCCGAGGAAAACTTGGCCAAAATACAGTCCGGGGATATCCCTCGGATTGAAGAGTGGGCGCGGCGAACTGGATCCTGCTTCGCGGCGGAGAAAACCGAGCTCATCCACCTCACCAGAAAGAGGGGAGAGCACTTAGGGGGACAAATCACCTTCAATGGAGCCGAAGTCAAGCCGTCACCTACAGCCAATCTGCTGGGGGTAGTACTCGACCAGGGACTTCGTTGGAAGGAACACGTCCAGCAGACCATCAAACGCGCTACCAAGACGACTATCGCGCTAAGTGGACTACGACACTTACGCCCAGAACAAATGCGACAGCTCTACCGAGCGTGTGTCACACCCGTCATAGACTATGTATCCCTGGCATGACCCGCTCCGGGATAAGACTCACCTACGACACTTCAACACAGTACAGAGAACCGCGTTGATCCGGATTCTATCGGCATTTCGGACAGTAGCCACCAAAACGCTAGAGGTGGAAGCTCATATGCTCCCTACGCATCTTCGTCTTCGCCATCGCGCACAGCGCACCATCGCGAGACTACACACCCTACCGCGTGACCACCCCATTCGGGGCGCACTATCACGTGCCCAGAATCGGAGAAACAATATAGGGTCGTACGCGCGCTTCCCTTTAGCAGAAGCGTTGAAAACAATGGATGTCGACAGGCTCAACGAACTGGAGACGATTGATCCACGCCCACTGCCACCGTGGCGAAAAGACGCCTTCACGGAGATTGAGATTGAACCAGACCGAGAAACAGCGAGAGAACGAGCAGTTTCCGCAAAGGACACGTCAGACATAATCGTCTACTCGGACGCCTCCGGGCGGAAGGGCCATCTGGGGGCCGCCATCGTTACACTCAACGACAATGAAGAGGTGATAGAATCCCAACAGGTCCAGGTGGGCCCGATGGAACGTTGGTCGGTCCACGTTGCAGAGCTCATTGGCATCTTCTACGCGGTCGATATGGTGTTCAAGCTGGCCCATCAGCGCACGAATGTCGAGGATGGAGTGCAGTCAACGGCAACAATCTTATGTGATAGCAGGTCGGCCTTGCAAGCAATCCAGAATGTCAAAAGTCGATCGGGGCAGCGTATCATCCATGCGATCCTCCAAGCAGCCGCTGAAGTCCAGAGAGTGAACGTTAGGCTCCGCCTCCAATGGATGCCAGGACATTGTGAAATCCCAGGGAACGACGCTGCAGACCGATTGGCCAAAGAAGCTGCGCAACCGGGTAAATCCCACCCCTTCCGGCCGCTACTATCGAGGGAGAACGCATTTGTCCGCGGAAATATTTATACTCAGTGGGGACGAGAGTGGAAGTCAAGCACCAAAGGCGCTCACTTACGGAAAGTTGACGGCGCCCTACCGGCGCGATACACCAGGAAACTATACGGGAATTTACCCAGGAACCGCGCGTACCTGCTAACACAGCTACGCACGGGCCACAACTGGCTATCCAGCTACCGTAAAGAAATTGGATACAGCGAGCACGATCGGTGCGAGTGCGGCGCGCAGGAGACAGTTGCCCACGTGTTGATAGAATGCCCAAGGCTCCGAGAGCTGAGGACGGAATTGAGAAGGAAAGTCGGGGACGCGTTCAACAGCGTGTCGAGCCTCTTGGGAGGCTCAAACGAAGGTGACAAAGGTAAACCAGACACCGTCTCGAGGGTGAAGACGGTTCAGGCCGTATTGGACTTCGCCGAGGCGTCACAGCGGTTTCGCAGTCGCGCGCCATAAGGGCAGCCTAACAATGGAAGCGGCAATTGGCCACGATAGGCCGTGACGAGGCTCTAAGTTAGTGTCAGGAAGTGGACCATTCTATATGTACATACTCGGATATATAGTTGTCGTATACTGCATATCGCTCTGCGAGGGGACAGTGTAAATGAATACTACTACTACTACTTCCTGTAACATGTCGTCCGCGAGGGGTCGGGGTAAATGAAATCATCATCATCATCATCATCATCCTGTAACCTGTCGGACTTCGACGAGGGCCACGAGCGCATAAAGAAGAAATGGCTCGATTGTAAACCTGACTGTAAGGGATGTTGGTTATTAAATGATTTTAAGGGTTTCCCTCACCAGATGGAAAGACAAGCAGAATACAATATAGATCGCAAAACAAATAGCCAAGCAAGGGGCGTATTATCAGTTCTCGCTTTTGGCTTTCAATTCATGTTAGCAGTTGAACCGAATTACATTAATGAGGGCCAAAGGGCTCAGCAAATTGAGTCCATCGTGGATGATTCTGCCTCCACTTCTCACCAATATACTCAATAGTCAATACCGGTTGCCCCCCTCCTCCCCGGCGGCGGGGGCGGCCCAGTACAGGAGTTAAAAGTGGTGTGCGTATTAAGATCTTCGAACATATACTTTTACAATTCCTCCCTTCTCACTAACCCCTCCCTCCCGACTATCTCTTCCCTCTCCGTTGATGTCCTACCGTCTCATTCTCCCCACGAACCGCGATCGACACGTTCCGCTAAATAGAGAAAGAAGCACTACGACGCCGACTACTATTATGAACACTAATTTCACACAGCCGGTCGAGTGCTACAACTCGCGCGACGCGGTGCCCGCCACCATGCCCTCCAACATTCAATATTACAATCAGGTCCCACTGTACCAGACCAAAAGTCCAAACAGAGATATGAAGGCTGTTTCGCAGTCTTGTTGTTCGAATGGAGTATGGATTTATGAGGATCCGGATCCTTGTACGGCTGTTTGTGATTCGCATACTGCAGCTGAAGCGAAGAAGACGATGTACTGCTTGAATGCTCAGATGGTCGTATATGGGACTAAAAGTGAGAAGGGTTCTGCGGTAGCCAGGCGTCCGATTAGCTGGCTGTCTTTGATGGTTGGGGGATTGCGTTTGTCGGGGATGTTTACTTGATGGGAGTGAGGGGTCGGTTTTGCAATTTGTGATTTATAGGGTTGTTTGAAATGGACCTTGCTGTACATGCTGGGATGTGAGTATGAGATTCTGGAGATATGTTTAAGTAATATGGCTCAGGCACAAGTCGGAAATTAATTCATCAAAAGCTTGCCAGGTCTCCTAATAATGTGTGTCATTTCACGGAATTATACAGGTATGCAATATATTGAACTGAGTATACCAGGGAGCCTGCATGAAGTAGAGCATTCTATTGGTAATAAGATAGACCCGACGGATGAAATAGCTCTGGTGGTGGAGGTGAAAGCAGCGTAACCTTTTCACCTTGGGCTATGCGCCAAGCAAAGATCGCGGAAGCACCATGGACATAGTTACTCCATTTCCGAGAGTTCTTTCTCAACCTTAAGCAATCTGGGTGTTTCACATCCATGAGCCGCCCCATTGCTGTGGTTTAAATCTGAAGTCGATGCCTATCTGCCCATTCTTGGGCTTTTTCTCGAGGGATTCCACTCCAGAAGCCTTGACCATTTGATAGGTATTGTCTCAATATTCTAACAAGAGGCGCTTGAGCTGACTGTTCGTCCGAAAGCAATTGAATTAACTTTTCACAATCCATCAGCCCAGTTAAAAAGGAAATGAAAGAACACAAAGCCCTTTCCCTTCTTCAGGATTTGCGAAAGTTGTTGCCAGAAGAGATAGTAGTATAACACTAATACTACTATGTACGCGTCGAACGGACTCGGGAAGAAGGTTGCTTTGCCACCTAAGCAAGATTTAGCAACGTCATGACTTTGGCCACTTTTGTCTAGATCCATGGATTCCATCTTCCGCGAGAACTACGGTGGTGATTCACGGGTTGTCGCATAGAATCATGTACGGTAGTATACACCAGGTGACCATCTTGACATAGAAGCTTCTTGACTCGTAAGCTATATTCATGTTAGCCCAGAGAGAGCAATACTCTTTTCGCTCGCGCTGACTAGAATCGGATGCACAAAACAAGCTCTATAATACATTATGTTTCTGTGACAGGGTGTTTTGTCTGCACCTCACTTTCACGCCGAACTGCATGAAGTATGTCCTGGACTTTTCCTCCCAAGGCATCTCTCGGTGCTGGCGCAGTCGAGAAAGAGAATTCTTCTTTCCTATGCAGGCCAGGCAGGCTTGTCTGTCATAGAGACCTTGATTCTAGACATGTTGATGACAGACAATCCTCCGAATGAGGGCGACAGTGGAAGGTGGATTGGTGCAAGAATCGGTACAGTGAAAATTGGGAGAGGAATTCGGTCGGAACCTGGGGGCGGTCACAGAATTATCAAAGACGGAGAAACCTCCAAACCGGCTTGCTTAAATGTGGTCCTCTGTTCAACGGTGGTTGTGGGCTTGCCCGCCAAAACCCCGGTCAATGTTTCTCCACCAGATGCAACATGACGCAGGTCGGATATAGGGATTCTGTGCAGATCTTGAGGGATACAGTGAGTGCAGATGAGAAAACGGGCTGTAGCGTATTGTTACCAGGGAATTCCATAGGTTGTTCAAGTCGGCGGAAAAGGCATGCAGTTTGGTGAGGTGGTCTGTGAATATACTTCACCGGTTTGAAAAGCGGTTGGTATCGGTGGTTAATTGCTGTATTCTAGATAACTATTAGGCCCTGTCAAATTTCGATTATAATCGGGTCATGGGCACAGCCTTCTTCCAAGCAGGCTACGGCTATTCGTGATTATCTGCGTGTAAAGTGAAGAAAGAATAATATAAGAAAACTTTTTAGTACTAACATCAACGATAAAAATTCAGTAATAAACGATAAATCAACGTAATGAACAACGGTATATGAATAATATCTAGCGAAACAGATGCAAAACAGACGCAAGACAGAAGGGAATATGAAAACCAAATGATAAAACAGGAATGATAAAATTGCATTTAGTGCAATCTGACACACTTGGAAAATCCATTGACCCCATCCCTGGCCATTTCGCCTCAAAATACCCCTTTCAGATACTTGGAGAGGTAGAGGGTCCCTTGTCAGTGGATTTGGATTAAATCACCCAGACCAGATCACTATGGTGATATTGGGAGATATTGAGCTCCAGCAATTATTGCTAGATTTGTTTAGGTATTGGTTCTATTCTATTTTTTGAGCTTTATAGGAGATAACTCTTTCACTTCTGACCACTACCATTCCTCGTTTCACAAACCGTCCCAAATCCCCTGCTTGACATCAAGACAGTAGCAGTGGGCATTCAGAGAACTCAGGCGCGTGGCAATCGGCAGCGATATATAAACCGAACGTTCCGATAGCTTTCATCGGGTTCACCAGAGCCAAATGACAGTGGGAGCCCGCCCACGTCATAGTACGGAAAGTATAGCCTTGAATCTTCTAATAAATGAGCACCCCCACCTTGAACCAGTCAACGTAGAACAAGTGCAGAAACAATTCATAGCCGCCGCTTCTTGTGTGTCAAGGCTGGCTCCAAGAATTTGATATGACGTTTAACCCGTGGGGAACAGTAGCAATTCCTTTTCGGGGGCCAGGAATTAACCAAATGGTCTGCACGACCAAAGTGGGAATTTGCTTGTTGATCATCGAGGAGCTCTTGAACCGACTTAGGAAAGCCGCCAATCCTTTGGAAGAACGAAGAACCGGCAATCCCAATTGATGTCATTTCATGAAGTCCATTGATTGAAAATCCCACCTTTTTGCGGTAGTATCCACATACGCGGCAACCATCATCATCATCAACGTCACCAAGGCGTTGGCCATGGGCCATTTCAAACCTTGCGCCTGGAAATTCCACCATGACCAGTTTTACCAGGTCCCTGGAATATGACCGGGAGCACAGGACTGAGCCTTTACAGAAAAAGACTCCTTGGCTTTTGATTGGCAACTCATCGAGTTCGAAGAAGAAAAAAGCGGTCGCCAAGATAGTTCTCACTAGTTCAGTCGGAACAGTAAAATGCATCTTGGACATCCCTTCTAATTTGCTCACATCGTCCAACCGAGGAAGTGGCTCAGGCAACTCGTGATTCAGCCGAAAGATGTTTGATCTCTCCACATCTGGCACGAAATTGAGTGCCTCATGGAATCCTTGCTCGCCATCCATACATGGGGAGGACATCGTCGCTCGGATCATGCGAGGGATGGCACTGTCTTGCAGTATACGACTAGCACCCTCAATTGGCTTAGCCACGGAAGAAAATGAGCCCGTTCCCACTGACAAGAGTAGATCATGGGTTTTTGCAGAGGGCCAGATGACTACTGACTCCTTGAGCGCAATTGCCAGAGGATTGTTGGCTCTGACTCCGCCATCCTGCAGCGCACCAAATCCTGGGAGGGATTTTGATCGGAAAAAGCTGCATGTCATTAGTCACCGTCTTCAAAGCTACCTGGGATACTTACAAGGGGGCTGCGACGCTGCATTGAGCTCTATTGGTATTGTTCATCAGTAAAGCTCTTCGTTCGTTCCAAATCAAATTGATAACAGTTCAACCCAACTCACACTTTCCATACGTGAGGATTCTCATCCGCCGTCTTAGGGACAAGGAACTCGTATGCTGCACTCGCTTCTCGCTGGCCCATTCCACGATAATTTGCCAAGACACAAGCTTTTCCATCAGAAGTACGACTCGCGATAATGGCGACTCGGCAACCGGTGGAGCTTGTCGTCGTGACATCGAACATCCGGCGTTGGGGGTCGACCACTCTTTGCAAGGCATCCTCTAGTCTTTCTGAGTCGTACTGACAATCAGCTAAAAAGCACGCCAGGCTTTTTATCCATGTAGCGCACCGGGATATCGGGAATTTTGGTGCATGCTTAGGAGGCGATCCGAAAATCATCCG